GTTCTAATTATCTTGGTAGGCATCTCTTCCTCCTGTGAACAGATACTTTGTTCACTGTCTTCTCCAGGGCTCTCCCCATGATGGACTCCCCCCAACTGCACTCCAGAATGTCACCCAGCGTAAACCACTGCACCTTGAGTGCAGAATAGAAGCCCTGCCACCTTTATTTTCTTCCTTCTATAAGCTTCTCTGGCTTTTTTTCTTAGCTTTTTAGGGTAGCCCTTCACTTTTGACTCCCCCTGTCTAGGATTGTCTATAAGTGTGGTATTATTTGAACAGCATATAGCCAGAACAGACATCCTTCATGCATCTTGTCACTCCACTTCCCCAGTGCAGGATGTTCTTGGTTTACCTACTTCCTACTTTCTGACCATTTTCCTCCATTTCTTCCAAGATTCTCTTTTTGTCCAACCCTTAAATGTTTGAGGGTCTCAGGCCTGTCCATGGTCGTCTGGTCTTCTTCTGCCCATTCTCCTTGGATGGTCTTAATCATACAGTTGGCTTTGACCACATATGTGCTGCCAAATCCTGAATCATACAACTAGATTCTTTTCCTATATTTTCAGTTATCTACTACACACCAGGGTGTTTTGACTGTATGTATCTCATGTTGAAATTTTCTCATCTCAGGTTTGCCTCCCACCTCAGTCCCAACTTTCCTGAATGTGGGCCTCTTCATTTATTTCACCTGATGGTTCCACCGCTCATGACCTTGCATGAGCCACAAACTGGTACGATCCTCAGTTCTCCTCCTTTTCCATCCCCCTCTTCTGTGGGACACTGAAGTACACTTTGTCTTCCCCATGTGTTGCTTCAGATCTGTCTTCCCTTCCTGCGTCTCTGCTGCAGCGACCTCCTGCCTGGTCTCATTCCTTCCCATGTGTTTCCTCTTTATGTCTATAGTGATTTTCTGGATTACATTTGGGCATTCCCTCTACCAGTGGTATCCCATTGTGTATGGTGTGGGAATTTGGGGCCTTCTTAATTAGGTCCCTGCCTACTCTTTGTGTGAGTTTCCTAGATCTGCTATAATAAATCACCACAACAGAAATTTATTTTCTCTTAATTCTGGAGGCCAGAAGTCCACACTCAAGGAGTTGCCAGAATTGGCAGCTGCTGGCGGTTCTCTGTGTTCCAGAAGAAAGAGGATAGTAGATGCATCACTTCAGTCTCTGCCTCTGTCATCACAGGGCTGCTTCCTGTCTGTCACTGTGTCTTCACTTGGCCTTCTGATAAGGACACAAGTCATTGGATTAGGGCCCACCCTAATTTATCATGACCTTACCTTAATTTAACTAATTATATCTGCAAAGACCTATTTCCAAACTGTATTACCCTCAGAGGTTCCAGGTAATCATGAATTAGGGGTGGGGACTATTCAACCCAGCACGCCATTCCAGTCTCAGCTCTGTCTACTTCCTCACTTGCAGGGCTTGCTCATTTACCTTGGTGCTCTGGATGAGTGAGAATTCACCAGACAGACAAGGTGGAGAGGATTCCAAAGGGCCACAAAGGTGACATTATTGCTGAGCCATAACATAAGGCTTTGTTTTATTTAATTTTGTCACTGTACTTTAAGACATAGTTCAGGTTACCTGTTTGATGAAGAGTCCCTGACCAACTCCCCAGGGGCTTTTCTGTTCCCTCAGTACTTAGTACCAGCGTCCCTGACCAACTCCCCAGGGGCTTTTCTGTTCCCTCAGTACTTAGTACCTACATGGTTTGATGATTTAATTGCTAGCTTGTGTTCCCACATGTCCTGTGTGATTTGGAGCAGACTCTGTGCCTGGTCTGTGGGGGTCATGCATCCAGTGCACTGCGTGGCACATAGCAGGTGCCCAGGAGATGTTTTTGAGTAAATTTACCATCTGCACTTAACCCCGTAAGATCACATGCATTTCAGGGGAGGAGTTGTCAAGTGCGAATTGGATGGTCCTTTGCCTTCCGTGAGGTAGAGAGGATTTGAGTATGGAGGGAAGTTGTACTGGCTCACCCTCTGGGTTTCTTCCATCTGGAGGTTCCTGTTGTTCTAACTATAACCCCTTCCAGAAACAGCACACATTTTTAAGGAAGACAGACTGAAAATTTTAAGCAGTTGGACAGCTGCTTTGTTCCACAATGATTTGAGAAGTTTCCTTATTTTTGGAAGAGCTCAGTACTCACTCGAACATCATGCAGAATAGTGCCATGGTGGCTTCAAGAGAGGCTGAGCATCCCAGGCCTAATGGGGAGTTGACGCAGCTTATGAACAAAGCTGTTTCCATCTGCAGATGCCCTCTCAGAGCACTGCAGCTTTTCCGTATTTCTTATTTGGTCAAAAGAATTTTAGAGACTGTAATTTTATGCTTTTAGAGATTCTTATTTCCTGTTTTACTACATTTTTATAGAATCACTGAAAGTTGCCTTTTTATTTTTGATGGGAAAAAATAAAAAGAGGTTTAAGTGTGGAGAAAACCAAGAGGTGGGGCATTAAATGATGTTCCTATAATGGTGATCAAGGTACAAGAATATTTTAGGGAAATTTACACCCAATACATAATTCGTTTTTCTAATTACAATAAGTTGAACTATTCATTGGCACAAATTATTGTACCACTTGGCCGTGTTAAAAAAAGAAATGCCACAAACTGTAAATAGTCACTTTTTAATTTAAGGGAACAGTTTGAGGAGGAAATGTCATTATTCAAATAGCTGTGAAACAAAAGTGACTTATACAAATATTTCACAAGCCCAAATTAGAAAAATTTTCTCCCTGTGGTTCCTAGATAGAATGCCTGATTTTCATGTCATGGAAGCAGCAGAAACTGTGCCATGCAGTTACGTTTTTAAACTAATGGGCACCCTTCTGATAGGGCAAGAATTAAATGAACATGCCTTCTCCCCACAGCCAGCTATGAATTATTCAGCCAAAATTCAGCTAAGCACAGCCTGCTGTGTGTGTATCATTGTGTAGCAGCCCTTTGCTAATTGGGTTAATTTTGAAACACCTCACCCCGTACCAACATGCAGAAGTAAAGCAGCTGTCTCGGTAAGAGGGCTTTGCAAAGTGTCAGGGTCATTTGTGCTTATTCTCTCCTTCCTCTGCGGCAGATATTCCTTATGCGGGTCTGTGATAGTGACAGGAGGCCTGCAAACTAGGATAGGAAAATATATGACAGCTTCATTTTTTACTCACTTCCAACTAGAATTTAGCATTAAAAAAGATTGGATGTGGGCAACAATCCGTAGTGATAATAGCAGTACCTAAGAGTTTGTCACCCACAGCAGTCACAGGTATCCTAGAATATTGTTTACTCTTCACTACTTCAGAGTTTCAATAGCAGTTAGATCATCTGCTAGATCCTATTTTAAGTATGAATAAAGATGATGCAAAATATTAATATTTTGATAACTTTATATCAACGTAATCTATTTCCTTTGTGATCCTATATGTATTATTTTGTGCATTTAAAAATATTCTGCATGAAAAACAAGATTGAAGAACTGTCACAAAACCAAGGAGTCTAGGGAGACATGGCAACTCAATGCATTGGGTACCCTGGATTGGATCTCGGAACAGGAAGAGGACAGTAGTGGAAAAACTTGTGAGATCCAAGTAAAAGTGTGAAGTTTAGTTTATTATAATGTGCTAATCTTGGTTTTTTAGTCTTGAGAAGCGTTATCACGGACATAGGAGTCATCAGCAATGGGGGAAGCTGAGTGAGGGGCGTATGGGAATGCTCTGTACATCTGAAATTACAGTGAGGACCATGTTGTGGGGTCTGCCGTCCACTCCCAGAAACGTTTGGGAGCATGGTTTCCTGTCAACTTAAGGCCATCATGGCCTCTTCCATTACAACTCTGAGAAATGGTGCAGATAGATCCATCCAAAGATAAGGAGACGTTTTCCAGAGAAGTAAAGTAATTGAGAGTGTGTTAGATTGGGAAAAGCATGGCTCTGGAATCAGAGAGGTCGGCATGATAGTCTGACTCTCACTTACCAGCTTTGTGATCTGGGACCAGCGACTGCTCCCAGCTTTCTCTTCCCCTTTGCGGAATGGAACCATCCATAGAGTCCCTGCCAGGGTCGCTGTGAGGACTGAACATAGTGTGTCCATGTAGCTAACCGTTTTCTGGTTACCTGGAGTGTTTGAGTGTCTATTCCATGCCAGGCCCTTTGCTAAGCATCTTCCCTCAGTTATCTCCTTTAACCTTCATGACACCTCTATTCCATGACTATTTCATAGAGAAACTGAGGGTCAGAGACTTGGTGACCTCACTGCCCAAGGCCACAATGCTGAGCTTTAATTCAGCTCTGTGCTGACTGCAGTTTACTGTCTTCCCAAGTCTTCTGTTGAGGCTAAGCCACCTCTCACCACCTGGTAGTCCTGGTTACTGCCATGCTCCTCACTCTCTTTGACATTCCAATCCCCTCCTGTTTGGTGTGTGTCTGTACCCTGATCCAGACGCTCTCCTCTTGATTTCCTTGCCTGTTGTGGATGGCCTCTGTGGGCCGCAGTTTATCCAACTATAAAATGAGGGCGTTGGACTGCCTTCAAAGTCTGTTCCTTCTGTGAATTCAACTGCTTATTTCAGCTGTCTTACTGGGATGATTACTGAATCACTGAAGTCAAAGCTTTTCTAATTTGTTTTGGGGGAAGTTATATGTTTCTTTGGCATTTTCCCAGATTCCAAAGGAAGGCAAAAATGGAGCTGTGTGCCTTAGTTGCTTTAAAACCCAGCAGAAGCCTTTGTGATACTTTGTGATAGTTATGGGTTTCTTAACTGGGATTCTGTTCGCAGAACAAAAGGAATGGGAATAATTTTATTTTTTTCTTTTCCTTCTGTGGTTAAAAAGCCATAAGAAGTAGTAGCCATAAGAAGTAGTTATTAGGCGATGAGCCCAATTTCCAGTGTGCATTTGTCTCAAGATGTAAAAAAAAATGAGAGCATCATTTGGCGCCATTAGGTTACTGCATGGGGGATCTGTTAAGCCTATGATTTGTTCTCTTGTTTTTCAGTTTTTCCCCTATATTCTGCTGCTCGTTGCAATCCTCCTATACCTGCCCCCACTGTTCTGGCGTTTCGCAGCTGCTCCTCACATTTGCTCAGACTTAAAGTTTATCATGGAAGAACTTGACAAAGTTTACAACCGTGCAATTAAGGCTGCAAAGAGTGTGTGTGACCGTGACCTTGACCTGAGAGACGGAGCCTGCTCAGTTCCAGTTGTTACCGAGAACTTAGGGCAAAGGTAACTTAGCCCCAGCAGGCAGCTCATCAGGTTTTGTAGGACAAACTCTCTGCCCTTCTACTGCCAGTCTGGGCCCAGAGTTCTCATTGCTAGGAGGCGGGGCAGGAGTGGAGGCAGGGGGACATCATGCACCTAGTGACACAGCCTGTAGGCTCCAGGCATGTCCACTGTCCCCAAATCTCACCCCCACCCATTTGTTTGTCCTTCCCTCAAGACTTCTTTCCTTGATGAGTAAAACGTTACCATCTCATTTTTAAAATGCAGTTCTTGTAGGGGTAATAGATTGAGATACTATATGAAGCTTGCTTGCTTTAATCTATTTAACTCCTAAATGGAGATGCACAGAGGATTTCAAGGCAGATGAGTCGTGCCTTGCCTTTTCACATTCTTTGGTTCTTGTTATTGAATAATTGGAATAATAATAATATTGAGTGATTATTTTTGAATATTTCATAGATCCCACACACTGTATTAAGTACATTATCTCCTTCAGCCCTCAGATCAACATTACTAAGTGCACTTGTTAACCTCCCCTCCCCTTTTATTCTGAATAAAAACACTCTCCTGTAGCTGTAAGTGGGAGTGCTGGGACCTGAATCATGCCCCTTTGACCCCATAGTTTGTACCCATACCCCCTGAACTGTCCCCACCCCTCCTCGTAAGAGGCAATGTTTACATGTGTTTAGCATTTACCAGGTACCAGGCATCATTCTAAAAATTTCCAAATATTAACTCATTTAACTAACTAGGCCTTATATTTAAGGGTAAAAGTCTTATTATTCCTTTTCTTCCTCCCCTTTTAAACTGATTTTATTCTCTACCAAAGTTGTAGGTAGAGAAGTATGGGTGTTTGAAATCTTTAGTGTGACATTGTCTAATGTGTTTCTGCCTTTAATATTTGATGGTCTTGGTGTTTATTTTTGTTTATTTTTTAGTTTGTGGGAGATACCTGAAAGCCACTTCAAGTACCCAATTGTGGAGCAGTACTTGAAGACAAAGAAAAATTCAAATGATTTAATCATCAAGTATATTAGCTGCCAGCTGCTGACACTCACCATTATACTCTTAGCATGTATCTACCTGGGATATTACTTCAGCCTCTCCTCACTCTCAGATGAGTTTGTCTGCAGCATCAAGTCAGGGATCCTGAGAAACGACAGCACTGTGCCTGATCAATTTCAGTGCAAACTCATAGCTGTGGGCATCTTCCAGTTGCTCAGTTTCATTAACCTTGTGGTTTATGTCCTGCTGGCTCCTGTGGTTGTGTACACACTGTTTATTCCATTCCGACAAAAGACAGATGTTCTCAAAGTATACGAAATCCTGCCTACTTTTGATGTTCTGCATTTCAAATCTGAAGGGTACAACGATTTGAGCCTCTACAATCTCTTCTTGGAGGAAAATATAAGTGAGCTCAAGTCATACAAGTGTCTTAAAGTACTGGAGAATATTAAGAGCGGTGGTCAGGGGATTGACCCAATGCTACTCCTGACAAATCTTGGCATGATCAAGATGGATGCTGTTGATGGCAAAACTCCCATGTCTGCGGAGACGGAGAGAGAGGAGCAGGGGAACCAGACAGCAGAGCTCAAAGGTAGGGTTTGCTCTTGGCAGAAGCTGCAGGAGCCCACCAAGAGCCTTTGCAGCAGCCTTGTGGGAATATTGACAGTCTTTACCCTGCCCATCATTTAAGCCATCTCCGGGCATTAAAAAAACCTTAATACCAAGGGGAATCCCTCATTATTAGGAGAGAGAGGAAAAGAATTGGAGCTGCTCCACATTTCCAAAAAAGGACAATTTCTGTGCTTTTTCTGGTGTTTCTTTCTTGCTCAGCACTCTTCCTTGTCTTTCTTGCATATTTTTGTCTTATCTAACTGGCTTTCCTCCTCTATCTCTGATCCCCTTTCTCTGTTACTCTCTGACTTTCTCTTTCAAAGGGGACTGAAAGTTTATGGATTTGTTTTCTTAGCCTAACTTCACTGTGGTCTGAAGTTAGGCTAAGAAGCAAAACATGGTATAGATTGTGAGAGAAATTTTCGGAAGAAGAGATCTTGATTAGTATTGATAATTCCTGTTATATTTCTGTTATAAATATTTCTTTTCAATTTTGACAGATATGAACACTAAAGCAAATAATGGAGAGAAGAATGCCCGACAGAGACTTCTGGATTCTTCTTGCTAATGATTATTTTACTTGAACTGTAAATCTGTGACTTCTGCGACATGGGATTTAATTTGGCAAAAGCATCCCTGTTGGTTTCACAGCAGGTTTGTAATACATGGTTCTTGGTGGAGATACTGAGCATGTCTTAGTCCCTAATGGAAATGGTGGTCAACAAAAAGCTATGGAAGAATGGTTTATGAACTTCCCATAGGAGGCACCTCAGAGATGATTAGTAAACTGCAGCAAGTAACTATGTGTAAGTCCTCATCAAATAAAAAGCAGAAAGACAAAAACAATTAGTCAAGACCAGTAGCCCTGTTAGAGCCTTGGAACAATACCTCTCTGTACCTGTGGTGAGACACGACCTAGAGCTACTGGAAAACAAGCACTTCAGGAGATTTGTTTTGTTTTCATGGAACAAGAATATGTTTGGATATAATTTAACATGAGTTTCTTATGTGCCCTTAAGGATTGTCAGACCAGAAAAGCATTCACTGGCTAATGACCCACAGGTCGACCTGTGTCCTAAGTTAGGTGTAAGTCTGTTGCCTTGGCGCGGACTCGAGCTCTCTTTACAGTGTTAGTTGTCAACCTTGGCTGATGGAAGTCCTGAACCAACCACTATTTGTCGTACTGTGCCTTGAAGGGCAGCAGGTCCAAGTGCTGCTCTCTCTGAAAACCGAGTTAACAAGATGAAATCTAAAGGATATTCACAGTGACTTCAATTCAGGAAAGAATGCTTCCAAAAGAGCCCAGTGGGGATATCTGACACCACAGAAGGCATTAATTCAGTCACTTTCAACGAGTTTGTCTACAGGATGTTTCTGTTATCAAAGGCATCTGAAACAGGCTTTTACTTAATAATGGAACACAGGATTGTTTAAAGTGAAGAACACTTTGCCTAAATGTGATCAGGGCATGTAAGCTCCATATGGTGTGCTTGGAGCCAGAAAAACTTAGCAGTTTGTTTATATTTAAGCACAGCTTTAAAGAAATTCATTTTAGTTTATAGAGTGTCAGAATTGAGACCATTTGGGAAGAAAAGTCTAGCACTGGTAGAGAATTATAGCATAAAGATTACAAATGGTTAGATACTACAAATGCAGGCTTATTTCCTAAACATGTAAAGCTGATTCAGAACATGTTGAAAACTATTCCCAATTCCACTATGTAAATAGATCCTATGTTCACATTTTACACACACAGAAAAAATCTTGAACATCTGTGGACCTTCCAAGTGTTTTCTTAGAATGTTAGCACATTGCATCAGTTGAGTAATCCTCAGGAACCTCCAGGTTTACTTTTGGCTCTTACGGACAGTTGTTTACATAATGTAATTACTGTTTTCTGAAGAACGGAAGTTATATAAGCTGCTGTCTGCCTTTCAGAATATTCAGAAAAGCAGATTTTATTTGTGCTTCCATGATAGTTTGTGAAATGGAAAGCTAATGATACATATCAAAGTAGCAACCAGTGCTTTAAATTATTTTGTTACATGATATTTATTACTGAATTATACTGTGACTTAGCAGTAACCTAAATAATTGAATTTGCCAAATTATTATATTGCCGTATCTGAGATATTCCATCACAAGTTTCTACACTGGTTTCTTTCGAAAATTTAAAAAGATTTTTGAGATATATTTTTCTAGAATATAATTTTTTTTTCCAGAGAGCTTCATCTTTTTTGTAGACTATCCTTAATTTGTATTTTGAAATGGTAAAAATTGATATTTTAGGAGACCAGGCAGTCTCCGAGTCCTACCATATGAAATCTTTTAATTAAGAGTTTGTGTCATTGGGGTCCTTGGCCTCTCTTTCAGTACATTTTCCCATTCCCACTCTGAGCTCCAGTAGGGTCTGTGATGTCCCAGGCACAGTACCAGGTTGGATGTACAGATATGCATAGGCAAGTCCCGACCTTGAGGACTTCTGTCCAGTAACAGGCAGCAGACACATGGGCCGGTGCCTAAGAGGAGAAAGTATAGCCACATTAAAGGCTATGCCAGAAAGCGCCTAGCAAATGCTCTGTGTTCTTGGGAGAGGCTGCATTATTTTTTCTCTCCCACAGTTTAACTGCTAGTTTTGAGAATATAGTTGTCATTTTTCCCAGAGGCAGATGACCATCTTAAGGTTCTTTAGCTGCAAATCCTCTAGGTTGAATTTTGCGCAAAATAGTTACAGTGGTTTTGAATAGTAAGGGATCCAGTTGCCCTTTGAACCTTCCCTCACAGGGATGAGAGAACAAGCCTGTGGAGGATATGCAGCTACTGGTGAACAACTGTCAGGGCCCCAGAAGGCTGGTGTGGAAGCCTGGGGATACATTTCAGCTTGGACAGAAGTATTATTAGGACAGGGAAACTCATCCGTCTGCTGTGAGCTGCTGGCTTGAAGGATGACTTTTTAGGAGCCAGTTTCCTGAGGAGAAATGCTTTTATAAAGCACCTATTGCTTTGTAAACGGGGACAAACAGATCCTAAATGACCACTCCAGGGTTGCTGATTTTGTTTCTGGCTCACATCTGCCTCGTAAGCCACCAGGAAGCTGCTGAACCAGGATGGAAACAACAGTGTTACAGCTGGGAGTGACCTAGTACTCTGAAAGCGGCATTCCAACACGTCTTTGCAAAGGGATGGGCAGAGACCTCCAACATAGAGGTTCTTAAACTTGGTAGGGTTACAGCCCTCTTGCAGATACTTTTATGCCTATAGACCCTCTCCTCAGAGCTACAGCCAACATTTTCAATGTACCTTAGGAGGTCATTATAGTCCATGCCTCTGAGGTGAAGAAGCTGCACTCCAGTGGCTGAAGAGCAAGCTATACAGCAGAGAATGGGGCTCCCTTTGCCTTTGTGAAAGCTACTTCCCCCTAACACTGTAGCAAACTCAGCTATACGTTTGCTTAGTTCAGCCACATTTACGTTCTTCCGGGTGAACTGTACCTTTTGAGTACCTGCGGCCTTCCTTTTCTAGAGTCAGATTTCAATCAGCAGAAGCTTGGACAGCAGCAGGCCAGGAAAGACCAGGCAGCGCACAAACTGCTGCCCTCTCCCTGGCCACAAGGCGTTATCTTCCTCTAGGTTCAAGTAATCGTTCCTGTTTTGCCTCACTGGAATGTGGGGAGGAAGACAGAACACTATAAAATGCCGCGTCCTACCTTCCAGTTGTACTGTGAGAAAGCTGGAAACTTCCACCTGTACAGTGGGTCTGGTTTGCACGTTTATGTTTCATTTGTGGGAACTGCTTGGCCAAGAGTGAGCTCAAGTGAGCTCAGGTCAGGGCAGCAGGGCACTGACACCTTTTTAAAATGTGCTCATGTTTGGATCATTTTGCTTATTGTCAGTCCTGGGTCCATCAAAGGTTTGTGAGGGTGAGAATTTTTATGCACTGCTGTATTGCAAGTACTTAAAACAGAGACTGGCCCAAATGAGGCATTCTGTAAATGTTTGTTAAAATGAATGGACAAATTCTTAGAATAAACCCTAGTTTGTTGACAACTGTGATTTGATTTTGGAAGGCAAACTATGACTTTATTTTAGAAAGGAGAAAGTGGGGGAGACTCATAGGAGTATTTCTGCAAATGAATAGGTTTCTACCTTAAGTAGTGACAGTCCTTAGCTGCTTATTATGGAGTGAGTCCTGACCACTTTCCAGGTTCAATACAAGTTCAAGATTGCCTCTCAATGATTAGGGAAATTGAAGCTTTAAAGCTCCCGGTCTCAGTAATTCCCCAGAAGAAACCTCTTAAAAGGGGATGTTGATGAAAATGTACAATTACCAGTAATTGAGGTTTTATCTGAGGGGATGGATATGATGAAATGGCCCCTTCTGGGAGGTCGTTGGCATTTTTTCCCTATTTTTCACAAGTAACGTGAAACCATTTAAAACTATGGACAAAGATGATATTGTGTCATGCGGAATACAATAGATACTAATTTGTGGTTGGTTTTTCTGCCTGCTTTAAAGGAAGTGTATTATGTTTCTGGGCTCCTCTTTTAGCTGTAAAAATACTTTGTCACTAAAGCATGAAATTTAATCAGCAATTGTTTTTCAGATTCCTGAAAGCTATAAAAGTTTCTCGTGACTTGAGTAGTTTTTTCCCTGCCCACCACAAGAGAAAACCCTTGTAGAATTTTGCAGTGTTACAAGTGTTACCTACAGAAACTGAAACTATCAGCTCCTCTTTAACAAGTTGGCTTTTTAAAGGCATATAATTACAATTTAATGGTATTCTGTAAAGTAGTGCTCTAGGCATAACTTAAATTCTTTTTAATGACTACATTTCTTCAAAACTTTGAGAGAAAAATGTGTTCTTTTTTGCTGCATCCTTTATAAGAAGACTGCCAACAGATGAAGAATGACTTTACAAATTAAGGGCTTCTTGGTTTCATTTCCACAAAGATGAGAACAAATCATGGTGTTAGGAAAGGATCCTTAGAAGAACACAAGAATCTTGAAAGCCCTTGGTGTTATCATTATTATATTTTATATTTCCAGAGAAGTCACTTAGCCAAGCTCTGCATTTTGAGCCTGCTGACTTTCATTTAAAGAGGGATGAAAGGTTGAAAATCCAGGCTGCTGTGTCTGTGAACATCAAACTACGTTTGAGCTCTTCACTGTTGTATCCACTTAAATAAAACTGTGTAAGTAATGAAAAATATCTTAATATTTCTTGCCTGCCTTTTCGGGAGAGTTATTTCATGGAAGATGTAATTGGATATGCATCCCAAAATGTCTCGAGACTCATTCCACTCTGCTGGAAACATAAAATTCAGCAGACTTCATGCTACTTGCTAAAATCCAGCTGGCAGTAACTAAAGGAAGGAAGTCCTTGATTAAGGACCCACAGATTCTGGAATTTCTAAAGCACAAATAACATGCTTTCTGATACAGGATTGTTTGCCTGGGTTTAGGAAAAAAAGATTAGAAACCATGTGCTGCTAAACATGGGTTGGCCTGCACACCTCTCTCAAGAGGAGGACTCTTGTACAATGGTCAATTAGTGCAGCTTAGTATTGTGGGTAATCAGAGCCATGTGAAATTTTAGTGCCATTCCTCACATATCACAAATACAGGAAATTCTAAGTGCCAGCTTTGACTCTCTTGCTCACCAGCTATTCTCAGGGTGGCAGTCCCACGAGCCTTGGATGTTGTATTAGTTTTCTGTTGCTCCATAACAAATTACTGCAAACCTAGCAGTTTAAAGCAATACACATTTATCATCTTGCAGTTTGCTGGGTCAGTAATCTGGACACAGTACAACTGGGTCCTGTGCTCAGGGATTCATAGTGCTGCAACCCAGATGTGGAAGGTTGTGTTCTCATCTGGAAGCTTAGCTGCGGAAGGGGCTGCTTCAAAGCTGCCTTAGGCTGTTGGCAGGATTCATTTTGCCAAACTCAGAATCAACTGATTTGGGACCTTAATCACATCTGCCAAACCCTTCCACCTTTGCCATATTATCTTGGCTAGAATCAAGTCACAGGTCCTGCCCACACTCCAAGTGGGAGTCCTGGGACCACCTTATGCTCTGTCTGCACAGATAACCTAAATCCTACCCTCTCTGTAGCTTTTCCCCCTTGACAATCCTGAGGCCGGCCTCTGTTCCCAGGCCCTTGTCTCTCCTGAATTCCTCTGATAGTCTTACTATATCTAACCCAGCTAACACATTTCCTGTCTGTGAACTTTCCAGAATGCAGCTATGATCATGGAAAAGCCACCATACCATAGCACCACCACGACTTTTAAATCCCTCCAGACTCTGTAGATCTCAGAACAAAGAACAACCTTGTTTCTTAGACCATACAAGGCCCCACCTCTTCAAGATCATCACACACCCACTACTCTCATCTCTGAAACAGCCTCCTGCACTGTTTCTTAAAGGCCTCTGTTCTTTCTCAGATGCTGGCTGTCCTCACCTGCCTCATACCTTCTATTCAGAAGTCAGCTCCAATCTCCCCAGCAGGAAGTATTAGTGACCTGCCCTCCCCTTGTCCTGACTTAGATGCCCTCTGTGCTCATTCTTGCCATTTCTCCTGGCCTCAGTGCCGAGCACTCTGCACTACCTTGATGGCTTGGTCTGTCTCCCCTGCTTTGGAGGCCTTTGACGCTAGTGGTGCCTTCTGTATCCCTGTGCTCCCAGCACCTGGCACACAGCCTTATGCCCATGTGCTGAGGGATGATTTAGACCCTCATCTGCCCCCATGAACACCTTCTGAACATGTTCAGAGTGGATAACAGTATCCGGTTAGAAGTGAATTCTTCTCCCAGGCCTTATCCACCTCTATCACAACTCCTCCTACTTTGCCCCAATTCAAATTGGCCAAGTACAGCTCATCCTCTATTTCCTTCTCCCATTTTAGTGATTGAGGGCTTAACTTGAAGGCTTTTTGAAGCAATTCTAAGGACCTTTTCTTGGTGGTGGTTTCTCCCATCTGTACATATGCTAATTTACTTGAAGTATCCTCAGTTTTCTGAGTTCTAACATTCACCACCTTCATTTGAACTCCGTAGTTGGGTGTGTTATTGATCTGGGATGCTTCATGCCATTGTAGTAAGAATAGTGATGCCTTTTCATAATTCGTGTCCACCCAGGGAAGATGTTTATGGAGTATCCCCCCCCCCACATCCCCCTCCTACTACCACCCAGTGCTGAGAGCAGGGGAGGATGGAGAGAAGCTGAGCTGGAGGCTACCGGCCTGTGTCCCCCTTGATAAGAGCTAATTGCAGAAACTAAACTGCAGACTTGAGATAATTTACCCATCAGATCCCATCTCTTCTCCCGTCATATAACTCCAGTGTTCTGAATTCCCTTCCTTGAAAGGGGAATGGAAAGAAAAGGCCCAAATGCTCCTCTATGGTACGCTGGAGGCTGGGGAGACCCTCAGGGGAAGGAGAAGCACATCAAGTCCACGAATGAGGAAAACTCAATGGATCACCCTGAGAGCCCTGTTCCAGCATTGCAATGTGCCTTTTCTCAGACACAAGGAAACGGAATGCGAAACCAAGGTGTTACCAAAAAATCACTTCCAAATTCCCGGAAATGAAATTCACATTACCTCAGGAAGCAAAGACTCCAATAAGAAAACCCAAGCTTTCAGGGAAGGTTCAGGAATTAAAAGGAAATGTTCTCGCGGTAATTTCAGAGGTAAAGAGACCCATACAGAGATTTGTCTCATTTGTTCATTTTGAATATCAGAACTTACAAAGGAAGCATTTTTAAGTACAGAGGCTTTTGGAGTTCCTTATCATCTTTCTAAGTAACCCATAAGAGAAGCTTCATTTAAGAGAAATTACCCAAAACTATGCCTGTGGCAAAGAGAGCAGGAAAAAAAAAAAGACTAAACATTAGAAAAAGAATAAGGATGGTCTAGACAGTCTGTCCAGTTGAATATGAGAGACGTGTATAAGTAACTTTAAATTTTCTAATAGCCACATAAATGAGTGAAATTAATGTTTAACCTAAAATATCCAAAAGATAACCTAATATATCCAACTTGTAATCAATATAAAAATATTGAGATACTTTACATTTTTAGTCTAAGTTTTTAAATTTTGGTGTGCATATTTTACTTAGAGCACATCTCATTTCAGACTGGTATCATTTAAACAGCCCAATAGTCACATGTAGCTAGTGGCTACCATATTGGACAGAGTAGGCTGATCAGACTGTTTTATGCAAGTCTGTTCCCACCTAATGAAGTGTTCTTTGCTGTCCCTGTGTCCTTGTCAGTGTCTTTCTTTTGGCCTGAGATTCTCTTCCTTTGAGTTCTGTCTCCTTTCCGAAAGACTAAGTTGCCCTCTAAGCAGAACTGGTTAACTGGGTGCATAGTCTCGCCTGCTCACAATGATGCAAACTACCTCCTCCCCTTGAAGCTTTTGAATCTGAAATAAACTACTAAGAACTGGGCTACTTCCCCAATGCCCACACTATCTTGCCTTACTTGTCAATATTGATATTTATATGTTTTGTTTTGCTGCTTTTTCCTGTTCCCATAAAAGCTACAAGTCTGTTAAATTCAGGTGCCTTCTTAGTAGTCTTTGTTAAAGAAAAATTATTCGACGCACTTGTTAAAGCACTGGATGGCAAACTGTATCCAGGAGCATCGCAATAGGTATAGGGACAACTGCAATGGGATTTCACAGCAGGAGAGATTGGGCTCAACTCTGAATACAGCATAGGCAAATGGAAACTTATAACCAAGAAGAAGGGTCGGCGGGGGAGGGGAGAGGTCAGTGGATGTAAAATTACTAGGAGTAACCATCACAGGTTAAGGAGATTCTGGCCAACTTGACCTAACAGTAGAAGCAAATAATCTGTCAACCTTCCCACCCCAACCTCAGTCTCGCAACATGCTGAGCACACAGCAAGCTGAGGGGAGATGGATGGAAGCTGAAAGTCATTGTGGATGATGAAGTGTTTCACCCCTCTGAGAGCTAACTGTAGGTGCTCAGTCATTCTGTATCCTGTGAAGTGGAGAAAGAAATATAGTAAGAGCACATGATAGAGTCCCTCCAAAAGAGTTTTCCCATCAGATGAGCTTTCTAAGTAATAGACTCCCAGTGCCTAAGTGGAGAAGATTCGTATCCTATTTGCTTCCAGCCTAGTGCTCCCTTCACTAGTGTGCCTTCCTCCAAGCCTGCAATCTGTGCCAGGTGATTCATCTCCCACTTGGCCCAAGGATGGTCTTTATGTAGCACATCAGCTGAGAAGCGGGGCTCCTAATCAAGCGAGTGAATCATCCCTGAGCATTGATCAGGTTGGGGCAGGGAACCAAGGGTTGCTGGCTTTTCCCTAGATAGGAAGCTCCCATGAGGAAATGGCCTTTCATGACTTTAAACTCAATTGCAGAGTGAAATTGGTATTCATACATTCAACAAAGGGTTTTTCAAACATCAACTATCTGGTATTGGGCATATTAAGGTGAAAACCCCAGCAAGCCTCTGGCCTCATGGAGTGTCCTGGGAACGATGGTGGCAAAAAGGGAGAGGAAGGCCAAGAAAGGCTGATTCTTTGTTTCCATCTATAATTTCACTTCTCTGAGCCATTTGCCCAGTGAGGGACTTGGACTACACAACCTCTAAAATCTAGTGGTCTGTACCTCTGGGGTCTACGTCTTCTTTCTTCGTGTCCCACACTAGATCCCTGGGAATCCAGATGGAGGGAAGGAAGGAAATTAGTATTTGTTGAGTGCCTATGTGCTAGGCATTAAACAATGTGTACTGCCTTATTAAGTCTTCACATTCCAGTGAGGATGTTCCTTTAGTTTTGGGGTGAAGGACATTAAGGGAATGGATTATCAAGATGAGCTGCCCGAGCTCTGGCCTGAGGCTGCCCACTGACCTGTGTGACCTGAGTTCCTGACTCCTCTGGGCCTAGGTTCCCTCCTCTATAACAGAAAGTCATGGGTTTTGATGAGGGCTGAAGTTGATTAAACAAAGGCACTAAACATAATGCTGGCACGTAATAAACACTCAATCCCTCAATCTTTTTTAAGTCTAGCAGCATTTTCTTTATTCACATCATAAGCCATGTTTGAAAGACAAGAAAATCCCTAACAATTGGGGCATTACAGAAAGCATATTGAAAAAGCTCAATTTGAGTTTTGTTATCAGAAAATCTAGTTTGGAGTCTTAGCTGTAATACTTACAAGGAGTGACC